TGAGCATATACTTATTTATGGGAGCAGGAAAGACTCGTTGCTCTCTTATCGTGGGTTTCGGCTCTTTTCAGATCGACTGATTGGAGGCGGGGATGGTGGAGGTCTAAGCACCACACTAAGTCCGGGACTCAGGTGTGGGAGCTTGGAGTCCAAGTTTGGATGGGGACCTGGACCCCTTGACAGGAGAGTGGTGGGTTGGTCCTACTTGTGCCTTGGGGTACAAGCGAGGCGTGTGTTTCGGGGTACCCACTGGACACATTGATTCGTGAATCGCCGCGTAATCCGGTATGACTTGTCTACAATCTGGCACCGTAGTAAGAACTGAAATATGAAAGATGAAAAAATGGTTCTGATTGCTTACCACCTACTTGGAAGTACCACATGTGCTTATATAGAATGGTTAGTTAATGAACTAATGATAACTGCTAATGAAATTGAATATAAGGACGCACGTTTAGTAATGCTTCCTGCAGATGCAATAAACTATAAGCTAGATAGCCTTGCATATCCTTAAAGTCTTTTCTTTCCTCCTGGTGGGTAAGTTTTGCAGAGTACAATTGAGTACTTAGGGTTTGTTCTACCCTGTTGCATGTGATAGAAACATATGGAGCTGACACTTGTGTGTGGAAACCTCCTGGTGGGCTCAGCGAGAATTTTCTTTACGTTGCGGACATAGAGTTTATTTAAAACTTCCACCCAAAATATTTTACAATGGAAAAACTTATAATCTGTTATGATGTATATAACGGATCATCATGTTAAGGTTTAACTTGTCGTTACATTGTTTCATTTCCGCTGAAACTCTGATAGCATTGTTATATTCCGCTGTTATAAACAATAAATATTATGCTCTGATGTTGCATGGAAAGTGATGTAAGAAATGTCTTAAGAATGTTGTAAGTTTGTTTATCTCATTTGTGATCCTAATGGAAAAAATATGGATTTTTAGGTTCTCTCTTAGGGTGTGCTCGACGGAATTGCGTAATTTAGTGTCCTCCCTTGAGTACTTAGTGTCTAATGGAAGACAAGTACTCCTGTGAGATATTAGATTAGACGGTTTTGCCACAATCCCTTTCCACGATGGGTGATGATATTTTGATGCCTAATGTCAGTAGTGCTGAGAAACCAGAGTGTATCTTCGAGCCATCTAATCGGCTCAATCATCTAAGATAAAGTACAAAAGTGTGTTATGAAATAGAATATATGTTACATTGATCATAAAAATAGAATAATATACTTACTATGGTTACAAAACGAATCATGCCGGCTACAAATTTGGCGCAAACGTCGTAGGTCCAGGGAGGAACCCAGATGACTGAGAAGGACGTGGGAGACGCTGCATGACTGATTATGAACACACAAGTTACGTATCTCATAATAATCAGAGATCGGTTCTGTAGCCATGTAACATTCGCTGCACAAGCTCGCACACATACAATGATGATATTTTTTTCCACGAACGTTGACAACGATCTCCAAGTTGAAACGGCCACACCCACACCCCAGTCGTCCTGCTCCTGCAGGCAGTGCCACCGTGCCAGCTTCGTTGGGCTATCCGATCGAGTGGGTCCACGTCGCAAACAACAGGGCTGCTGATCTATCGTGTGTGCCTTCCTGCCCTTTTCGCCCCCAGGAATCGGAGTCCTGGCTCACACGACACGCCGGCATCCACGCTGCGATTCACTGAACTTCTTCGGCCCCGGCTGAACGCGACGGGAAACAGCGGCCGATAGAGGAGTACGAGCGCTGAAGCTACTAGACTTGGTGGTAAGTGATCTGCTAAAGAAAAAAAAAGACCTGGCGAAGTGAAGTGAAGCCAAATCGGTTTAGAGAAATACCTGCGATCTCGCATGTCGTTTTTTGCGCTCGCTGCCTTCGTCTAATCGTCTTAACGGAAAACACGAGCAGCCACGGGCGCAGAAAAAGCGCGGAGTTCGGTGGCTGTCCATACACACTGACTGGTCTTCCGTCTCGTCGCCAAACATGTCCGGACGCCATACGAGGCAGTGAGGCACATGCCATGCCACCACCGGCACATTGTTTTGCCGAATTGCCGTTTCACGTCAACACTCGTGTGAGCGCACCGTTGCCGTCTCACGAGATCGAAAGGGCTGCACGATTGTCTGATCCGCTCAGTGTGGTTGCTGCCGCCGGTAGCACGGTACTGGTCCCGTACTCTTGACTTCGGTTGGGTGACGTCGGATCGAACGACGATCCACTTGGTTGGTCGCTGGCCGTGACACGAGGCTCCGCAGCTGTCCGCTCCACTGGGCCCGGACCCGGATAAAGGCCTCTCGTCTCTGTTCCCCCCTCGTGTTGATTCCTCCTGGATATGGCTCAGCTCACAGGTCACAGGTCGTCAGGGGCAGATTTGTAAGCGAAATTGTAGAGTGGGGACTGACGAGACGAGACCTGCAAAGTCTCACGCTATCCATCCACAGTTCCTTTCTAGGATAGAAGAATCTTCCACGGTGCCTGCTGAACCGATGCTGCAGTGTTCTCATCTCCGTTTTAGCATCTTCGCGATGCCACTGCAATATTCACTTATATTCTTATTCCAAAATTAGTTGCCGGGTGAAAAAAAAGGAAGAAGAAAAATACGGCAGCGCTTCCTTTTTCACGTTGTTCGTGTGTGCGCGCGTATCCAGATTCCAGAACCCCTGTCATGCATGGTCGCCGGCGCCGCCAGACCGCCGTCGCCGGGCGTCGACGCTTGGCGGCCGCCGTGGCACCAACTGTCAGCGGCAACGAGTGAAAACCAGGAACGGCAGGGAGAGGGTCAGTCAGAGGGAGTGCCAGAACGGCCCACTGCCACTTGGCGAAAAGCGCAGCGCACGTGGCGCCCGCGGGAGGGGCCTCTTATCCTGTGCGCGCGGGGCAAATGACGGCCCTGCCCCTGAAGGCCTGAAAAGCGCAAAAAGGTCACCGCGGCAGCGCCTTTTCTCCGCGGGTCCCGCACGGCCGCACCACATAGGCGACGAGGTGGGCCCCTCTCTCCCGCTCGCCCTCATCCCTTTCCCCTTCCCCCCTCGCGTTCTCCCCCGTCTCCACTCTCCAGTCTCCACCTGTTCCATCCCATTCTCCTCCCCCCACCACGCCTCGCTTATCTCCCCCCGACCCGACCCCGACCCCTGCTCGACGTGTTGGCAAAACCTCCTCCTAGTCCTCTCGCTGAAGCAGGTTGTTTTCTCTACCGGCGCGGCAACAGCGAAAGCTCCTCGATCTCTGCCCCCCGCAGCCCCGCCGTTGGGTGGTTGGTTCCGCGCCTTGGCCGCGCCCGCGCGGGTGGGATCCGAGCTCCGTGGAGAAGCGCCGCCGCGATACGGTGAGCGCTCTTTCTGGTTGTTGTTTGTTTCATCGCGAGCTGTGCGTTCTCTGTATGCTTGGATTCGGAGCGCTTTTTGTGGCTGTTGTTTGTTTCATCGCGAGCTGTTCGTTCTCTGTATGCTTGGATTCGGACATTCGGTACCGTCCCTGCAAGGCTGCAAGGGGTAGCTTGGATTTGGATTAGGAGTGTGTTGCTTCTTCGATCGGTGATTGAGTGTTCGATTTCGAGTCCGCTTGCTTAGCCCGCCGGTGTTCCAGTTCCAGGGTGTTGGACTGACAAGTCTGAACTGTATTTTTTCTTTCCTCTTTGCGGACACTTCACGTTTTAATTCCGTGTTGCGTAGAGCGTACGTGAGTGGTCTTGGTTTGTTTGATTTTTTTCCTTGAGCAGGCGGACTCAATTGCTCAAAACTTGATTACCCCCATCTATTCACCGGAGCCCCGTGGCTTTGCTTGTATCTGCAGCCAATTCATCTGGAAAGGTTTTTATATTTTTTTTAAAGGTTGCTTTTGCCTACTGACTCGTGAATAGTGATCGTATATTCGCGCTTTGCTTGTACCTGGCTTTCCTTTCTGCTCTTAGCCGCAACTATTCATTTGCTGTTTTTGAGCGAAATTTGCCGTGTTTGTTTGAGTGGCGCCGAAAGTCCGTTGGTTTCCACGCATAGTTGGCATAGGTGCGCAAGCGACAAGATAGATAGAGGAAAAAAAAGTGAGGGTTAGTGGTGCTTAATACCTGTAGTTGTTATAACGGAAGTTTGGCATGTGTCAACTTATGCTGTGCTAGTACACGCTTACCGGCCATGTGCATGGAAAGTTTCCATTGGATATGCCAAAATATGAACATGCCAGTATGCCACTTAAAATGATAACTAGGGAGCCATTTGCACTAGAGGTCGCTAAAGTTTAGTTGCACTTCATCCTATTTAGCTCTCACGCCTATGTGCTGATATGCAGCTTAGCTGGCATGAGAGGACTATTTGACTTCTTCAAAACATTTATGCCAATTGCAATAAGCGTTTCTTTGACTCCAAGTTGACTATTCACTCTATCTTTTGGTGGTACCAAATGCATTATGGTCACTCTATTTGAAGGTCTTTTGAATTTACTCTGCTTACCTTCCCCCTTATGCTTTACATAGATTATATGCTTTGCCAATAGCAGTCTCAGATTACAGTTTGTTCTGTTTCTTAGGAAAAAAAAACTAAAGTTTGTTCTGGGTGGAAGTCCCCCCTAGATTACATGTCTGTACTTCTGTTTTGGAACTTCTAGGCCGCCAGATCTAGGAAGAATATCTAAACCTCAAGTTTTCTGTGAGGGGAAGCGTCCTATGTAGCTAAATTAGGGAGTGATTCTGTGTTATCCTAAGATTGTCACTAGCTCGTGGCAGGATGTAAGTAGATGCATATTTTTTATGGTGTGGAACAGAACAGGTGTCTGTTTGCATGGCCTGTGGAAAAGTTGCCAAGTTTTTTTCAGTACCCAAATTTTGTCTCTATGCGAAACAGTCAGAGATAACTATAGGTTTGCTGTATTGTTACTGACTGTTTACTTCTATATGGCAGTCTCACATAGGATTCCACGGGATTCAGCTGCTGAACGTTGCACCCGAAGGTGGATTTGGTAGTAAGCACTGAACAGCGAGTGGAATTTCTCAAATACTGTCCAGGATCATGGCTTCTCTTTGTGATTTCTGTGGGAAACAAAGGTCAATGATCTACTGCAGATCAGATGCGGCATCATTGTGCTTATCATGCGACCGTAATGTTCATTCAGCTAATGCGCTGTCTCGGCGTCATACAAGGACCCTTCTTTGTGATCGTTGTGGTTCACAGCCTGCATCAGTCAGATGTCTTGAGGACAGCGCATCACTTTGCCAAAACTGTGATTGGAATGGGCATGATGCAGCATCAGGGGCTTCTGGGCATACAAGGCAGGCCATAATTTGTTACTCAGGGTGCCCATCATCAGCAGAGCTTTCGAGAATCTGGTCATTTATTATGGATATCCCGACTGTAGCTGCTGAGCCCAACTGTGAGGATGGACTAAGCATGATGACAATTGATGACAGTGATGTGATTAACCATCATGGTGCTTCAGATGATAAAAGACTGTTGGAAATAGCTAACAGAACACTCATGAGCGATCCAGCTTCAGCCGACAAGCTTAAACCTCTGATAGGCTCTTCTTCCGGAGATGGGTTTGATGTTCTGCCTCTAGCCACAGATCAGCCTGCTGAACCAGTTTCAGTGACGCCTAAGGTGCTATGTGCCTTCATATTTTCCTCCAAGAGAACATTGTGCTTTGTTTTTGCATGTCAAAAGACTTGTTGCTTATGGCATACAAGTTACTTAAACATATAAAATAAAGAATGTTCTCAAATGAATATATCATAATAATAGTCATGTAGCTTGGTTACTGTTTCAGTCTTGCAGCAGCACATCATTTACTGTTGATCTTCAGGAAAATAGTACACAAAAATTATTTCTTAGTGATGATCCATTTGTCTCTATTTAACATTGTATGTCTCTTTTTTTCCCTGCTAGTGCTCTAGTAGCTTCTCTTTACAATGAAAATTCCATTTCTATAACAACTTCTTAGATACATTTGCGTCAGTGGACAGTTGCAGGTTGCATCGGTTCAGAATTTCGGATCTTGTTTATCATCAGTCCTTTTTTTAAGAAAAATACGATCTGTTATCGTTGCATTCTTATCAGATGCTGGTTACATCTCTCAGGTACCTTATGCCAGAGATGACGATAAGTTCAATGATGGCATGTATGAAGACTTATGTGTGGATGATGCTGACCTGACATTTGAGAACTACGAAGAGCTATTTGGTACCTCTCACATTCGAACAGAGGAACTCTTTGATGACGCTGGAATTGACAGTTACTTTGAAACGAAGGAAACACCACCTTTTTTCAACGAGGTATGTACTTTTGTTGTATACTCTCTGTGATTCTAAATATGTGACATTTAGGACATCAACATAGTCTAGAAGGTGGCAATTCGGCAAGGAATTTCTATGAAAATTTAACATTTCAAACAATGCTAACTAAATGCTATGAAATTACTTTAGGTAACATGTATCTTACACTGTCAATGCACATAACTGTCATACCCGGATGGCCAAAGTATATATTTTCATTTGAATTTTTCCTGTGGGAAAGAGAGCTCCTGTGCTTACTTCCCCAATCTACTCCTAGTTAGCCAGGGCCAGGTTATTTTCTTACCTCAGTTGTTATTTATGGTTTCTGTTAATTTCACTCATCAAGTATGAGTTCAGGACATTTTGGCATTTAAAGTTTTAAGTTTATTTTCCATCCATAGAATACTCTATTTTTTTTAAACTCAGTGATTACTATTATAGACACAAATAGGTCAAGTGTTGTTGCTTTACTAAATTTCTGGGACATTTTTTATGTTTTCAGCAGCCCAAAACTATGCAGCTAGAATGTAGCAATGTGGTATCAGCTGATTGTGGGATGTCAAACCCAGGGGCAAGGGCTGATTCCAGCCTTTGTATTCCTGTTAGGCAGGTCAGATCTAGTATATCCCATTCCTTATCTGGTTTTACTGGTGAGAGCAGCGCTGGAGATCACCAAGACTGTGGGGTGTCACCAATGCTCCTCATGGGTGAGCCACCCTGGCATTCTCCTGGTCCTGAAGGCTCAGTTGCTGGAGGAAGCAGAGATAGCGCTCTCACACGATACAAGGAGAAGAAGAAGAGAAGAAAGTAAGCAATCTAAATATCTACTTGCTGTTATTCTGCGCTTAACATTCATAGATCGTGGCTATCTTTTTAAGGAAATGTCTCCCACCTTCTGGGTCTCTTATTTCTAGTTTCGATATCGTATTTCATTGCAAGAGTTGCTAATTGACCTTTCTTTTCATGAATTTGGTCAACAGGTTTGACAAGAAGATCAGATATGCCTCTCGCAAGGCTAGGGCAGACGTGAGGAAGAGGGTCAAGGGACGGTTTATAAAGGCTGGTGAAGCGTATGACTATGATCCACTAAGCCAAACTAGAAGCTACTGAGCCTTGAATGTGATGGTTGTTATCGTCCAGTGTCAGCCTAGCAATCTTCAACTTCTCATCTGTTGTAGGTTGCGTTACAGGCAAGATCACTGGAGAGCACAACAATCGCATGCATCAGAGCCTGCAATTGAAATACGGAAAAAAAGGTTAAGAAGAGTGGGATGAATGAAAAAGACAAAGAAAGATGCAGACTTGCCGGACTCCGTGTGGCGTGGATGGAATGGAACATACATATTCATTCTTCAGTTCCTCGGCAGATGAGTGATTTGGATGGAGCTTTGCCGTCTGTGCGTCGAACAGATGCAATTGGCGCTCGTCCTCCAGCTCTACCGCTGCGTCCAAGGACCTGCGTCGGCTACGGTGTTCGGCAGTGAGCTGCCAGGTTGTACAGTCTGGGTAACAGCCTAACAAGATACACTTATACCTCTTCTGTTTTCGTTCTTGTAATATTATTTGTGAAGCACAATCTTCTCTTGTCAGGAGATTGTTCTTCGGTCGTGTGTATGTTTGTAGATGGATGCAGCATTGGTAAAAAGAAGTAGCCGTCATGAATGTAAAGTTCTTGTTAGGCCGCATATAGCAATGGGGATGAGTAGGAGAATCACACGTATCTGGACACTGAACCTCTGTAACTATTTTGTGCCAGAATAACCTTCCTGTGTTTTGTCATCTACTCATCTGAGATACTCCACGATTTATGCTCCTTGCGCGCTGCATCCCCGTCGTGATTACTGACAGTGGTGGGCTAGAACTAGAAGGAAGTCAGGTTCAGGTGCCCGCTGTACTCCAGGACGCTAGGGTCTCATGGCGACTGGCGAGGCGGGCGTCGCTGATGCCGCGTTGGAGAGACGGTGTCTGTGTGTATTTGGGCCGAGCGCATGAATCCAAATGTTTTCGGCTCTGCTGTATGCAGAAAGACAATGGGCCGCAATCCGGTGTCTCTCGCTCTTGTTTGGTTGTTCCTCGTCTTTAGCCGTATTTACCCCGACGGTACACAAATGTTTACACGAGCATTCAATCCATATATATACAAAAAAAAAACACAAAACACAAAAAACCGTCTCACCGTGCATTCCGGGCCATGAGACAGTGATGCTCCTGAGTCCTGAATGTCCACATCCACGTGGAAAAGCCCTATGTTCAGCTTACCTTATAATCCGGTTTATTCGACTTCTTTTTTCAGTTAAAACAATATTTTTCTCTCACAACAATTCAGTCGGAACAGTGTTTTTCAGCCAATTTCAGCCCAGCGAACGCGGGGATCTCATAAGCTCATCTACTCCTTGTCGTAGAAACTACTCGACGTCACGCTTTACGACAGCCAGCCGCGATCTCGAGGCATAGGCAGCCCAATTCATCATACTCCAGATCTACACTCCTATGCTACGATTTACGACCACACTAAATGCGAGCTACAGGCCGAGTAAGTCATCGTGCACGATGTCTGAATTATGATCATGGATTCGAAAAGGTTCGAGATGCCTTTCCCTTTTCTCCGGCCAGGGTACGCCCAACTGAATGCGTCGCTTGTAATACGTGCACCCATAGACTATTGGCCTACCTACCGAGTATTTGGTGAGATCGGTACGTGAATCAGTGCATGTAGTCTTTGGTTTTGTTTAATAAAAGTTTTTTCTTAGTTTTTTCCTGGTTTCTGAAAAATGGGTAGTCATTCTTAATTCTGAAACTAATCTTCCTTCGGGACTGACGCCTATGATCAACTCTGATGGAAATACGGAGCCAAATCTCATTTGCCCACGATAGTACACGGGCACTCCGGCTCCGGCCCCTCGCAAGCGCCACCTTGATTACGACTCACCCCGCCCGTCGTCGACGTCACTCGCCCGCGGGGAATTTTTTTTATTTTTAACACTTTTTTAAACTAACTTTAAATTAACACTGTTTTATTTTATTTTTTTCAAAACTAACATTTTTGGCCGCGCCTTTTTTCCTGGCGCGGCGAAACGCCTGTGCCGCGCCATGCATGGTGGCGCGGCGAGGGGATGACGTGGCAACGACCGGGGCGCTGACCGGTGACGTGGCAGGTTCTACCACGTCATAGCCACGGCGCGGCAGGACCTGGACGCAGACAGAAGCCGATCAACCTCAATTGCAATTGAACGGGAGCTGTTGTCGGTGCTATAAACAACTACAAGTGTTACCGCGACACATTGAAACGAATATGAACAAATAAATGGAGTCCGTGTGCAAGTTGACAAGTTGCCACATAACATTTTCATTGGTTCGACATAAGTTCGACATAACCAACTAAGTCTGCAAGTTTAAGACGACAATATTCGTTCGACGTAAGTTCGACATAACCAACTAAGTCCCAGGAGTGTAAGGATCCCTCGGACACCTCTCTCTCTTCGGATTTGTAGGCAACACATTGGGAGTGTAGCCAACATCGGTGTGGTCGCGTTGCCGGTGTGTACGGCTCGTACCCTGCAAGTATATAATATGCACGATTACTTATAATCTTTATGATCGTTAGTTCATGAAGCCTACGTATTTAAAGAAACTACCTTTGTTACTACCTGTGAGGCTCATTGGGTACCAAGCGGGGCAGCACCTAGCTGAGACATGCCGATCTCATCTTGCTGCTAAGGGTCCCGCTGGTGGTGCTATATGCGGAAGCCCTGGGGGTCGTCCTTCTCCTCCTCGTTTGTAGGGTCCTTCCCAGCGCTATAATGTGATGGTGTATGCACAACGGAAGCGGCACCTGTCACCGGCTGAGAAGAGCTGGTTGGTGTCCTCAAAGAAAGCTAGTATATGTTGGGCCTGCCATTTTGAATGTTCCTGCTATGCTATGCATAAGAAAGCTAGCTCCACATGAGAAGTTTAACTGCAATTTACGGAACCAATCCTCATCAAGCCGTAACATCATTTCCAGAGTGTGTGATGATCTCATTGTTTGGGAAAATTGACAGTGATGTAACAAACCTTAAACTCTGGCGCCTCCATCTTTTGTCTTGTAACTCTTCCACAAGCTCTGTCTTGTAACTCTTCCACAAGCTCTGCGCATTGACTGAAGTTTTTTTTTGAAGTTGGTTTTTTTAATACATAAATTGTAGGTGGGGTAACTCTCTCTCTCTCTCTCTCTCTCTCTCTCTCTCTCTCCCATCGTCTTATTAAAAAAATAAAGTTTACCTGCAATTTATGGATACGAGAGTAGAGAAATATATAGCTTTCTGTTTATCTTTTTTTTCACTTTCTTCTTTTCTAATACTGTGTAAGTAAAACATTAGTTGAAAATGCTTATGGGTGCTGGTGAATGTATGATTGAATTGTTAAGAAAAGGAATAAATGTTGTAAGGCGAATTGGTTGGAGAAGTGAAGCCAACTTTAAGAACATATGCAATCATATAGGGGGTGTTCGGCTGGCTGGCACTCACGAAACCACGGTTCACGTGAACAATGTTTTCAGACAAAACAATATTTTTCTTTCGCAACAATCAGCCGGAACAGTATTTTGACTTATTTTTCAGTCATGTCAAACAGGCCCCATGTTTAATCCTGAACTGCTTTAACATACAAAGTGTGATGACTAAGCAAGGAGGATGGAAAGTTCTCTCACATGCGTTAGCTGATAAGTGATAATCAAGAAAATTGAGTTCTGCCCCTACGTGCTGTTGAACTGACCAGGTCGGGCACTGGAGGAGTTGCGAAGCTCCTTGTACAATGAAATGCATAGTTCAGAAGGCGCTAAGCGCCAGCAGCAGCGATTCTGTGGACCAAGTGTTGCACTGACATTCAATTTTGCTGTTGCTGTCGGGATTATCATGGCAAATAAAATGGTATGACTTGTCCACGATAATCTACGGTTATTTATTGTACCTACACGTCCCTTTGTTAGAGTTTCAAGTATCTTTATGTGTGATCTATTGTCTTGAAGGTGATGGGGAGTGTTGGATTTAAGTTCCCAATTGCCCTCTCATTAATTCATTACGCAGTTGCATTTGTTCTAATGGCCACCCTTGAGACATTATCCTTGTTACCAGTTGCCCCTCCATCGAAATCCACTCCTTTCTCATCTATATTTGCTTTGGGTGCTGTAATGTCCCTGTCCACTGGGCTAGCCAACGTGAGTTTGAAACATAACAGGTAAACCAGATTCCATTTGAAAGTTAAGGGATGTGTGCTTACATAAATTTTGCAGTATTGCCTTCATATATTCTCAGTATTTTTGCTATTCAGTGTAGGTTTCTATCTAATGGCTAAGATTGCTGTAACCCCAACAATTGTTGTAGCAGAATTCATGCTTTTCCAGAAGAAAGTTTCCTCTCAAAAGGTAGGCTTGCTGCAACAAAATGTGCTTCCACAATGTTTTACTGCATTGAGGCCAACTATTATGACATGGTTCTGGAAATAATTCAACTATGAAATAAGTAAACAAAAAAAAGAGGAAGTCTACATGCTTTTTTGTCCCTCTACCAAACTACCGCTCACACCATCTATATGATGCCTAGCGCTTTGTACTGTGTTTTCCCCTCTCAATGAAACATGTGTCAACAGACACGTTCTCGAAAAAATATGGTGTATTACTTTGTCGGGTCGCTAACTATGTTCTTTTGAAATTTCACTTTGACATTACAGGCTGTCACACTGGCAGTTGTGTCATTTGGAGTCGCTGTAGCAACTGTTACCGATTTGGAGTTCAATTTTTTCGGTGCTTGTGTCGCATTAGCATGGATTGTTCCTAGTGCCGTGAACAAAATCCTTTGGTCAAGTTTGCAACAAAGTGGAAACTGGACCGCCCTTGCGTATGTTCTGTTTTTTTCTTTCTTTGATTCAGGTTATTCATAACTTTATTCCCTTATAATAACTCAGATTATCCAATATTAAACCAGGCTGATGTGGAAGACTACTCCAACTACGATATTTTTCTTATTGACATTGATGCCTTTGCTAGACCCCCCTGGCTTCTTGTTGTTCAATTGGAACTTCAGAAACAGCTGCGCTATTATCATTTCTGCATTGTTCGGTTTCCTTCTTCAGTGGTCTGGTGCTTTGGCACTCGGGTGAGATACATCATTGCTTTTTTCATTCAAATTGCCATTTCTCTATCCAAGTTTTGACAAGTCGTTAACTGACGAAATGGAATTGCTGATGCACAACATATGAGTGGGTAAATAATATGTGTGGCTTTTTGTTTGCTCTGTACACAACATTTCTGTATTGCTTCAGTGCGACGTCGGCTTTGTCTCATGTTGTTATGGGCCAATTCAAAACCATCGTCGTCGTGCTCTCCGGCTACCTGATCTTCGGCTCCGACCCTGGGATCACCAGCGTCTGCGGAGCCGTCGTCGCACTCGGTGGCATGTCCTTCTACACCTACCTGGGTCTGAAGAAAGACTCGGCGACCAGCGGCAAGAAAGCGCCGTCGAGGCAGAACTCCTTTATGGGGAGACCTAAGGTCGCTGCAGACAGTCAGATTGTTCGTTTCGGCTGGATTGGCTTATAAGTCATAGCTGAAAGTACTGTTAACTGATTCGATGTGAGAGGAAAACACTGTTGGCTGGCTTATAAGCCAAATACAGGCTGCCGATCAGGCTGAGTGATGACGTAGATTCAGAGCAAGAGGATACTGTGTAGGTTGCCAGGTTGGGGAAACTGTCATCTAGGTCACTTAATGCAAAGATCGATCTGAGCTTAGTTAATTTCGGTTTGTTGTAATCTGTCGGTGACCGAATCCATTTTGTACATAGAAGCCAAACCTTCAAGGCTTACGGATTCCCTAATGTGTAAGAGAGGTATCTGCTCCTAATTTGTAGCCTGCGACTGAGAGATTCGAGTGGCGGTGTACGCAAGAATCCAAGTCATCTGTGTGGTGCTTCTTAGGATGTGTTTAGTTGTAGGAATTTGGATTTTGGGGTTACTGTAGCGCATTCGTTTTTATTTGGTAAATAGTGTTTAAACATGGATTAATTAGGCTCAAAACGTTCGTCTCGTAATTTCCCACCAAACTGTGCAATTAGTTTTTCTTTTCGTCTACATTTAATGCTTCATGCACGAGCCGTAAACATTCGATGTGACAGGTACTGTAGCAACTTTTTGAAAGTTGAGATGGAAATAAAAGGACTTAGACTCCGAGACGGCGTGACCTGTGTAAAAACTTTTTTATTTTTTGCGAGCGGACCTGTCTAAAAATTAAACTTGTTTGGCTACACTCCAGACTCTTAGTTGAAGTACAGCCAAATAAGCCTAATTTAGCTACCTGCGATACCTGCGACTGCGAGGCTCTGATCCAATGCGGGCTGCTGGCGCCGTGCATTCGGCCTGTGCTTGGAGAGTGAGGACAGCGAGGCAGCCTCTCCACGTACTCCACGCCGTAGCTGGAGGACGGCGATTGCTCCGCATGACAGACACCGACGCCGAACCGGCCGCGGCCAGCCACGCATTGCATTGGGATCTGCCCCGCAGGTCCACGGCCAACGCGTGATGGACCTCGACCACCCCAGCTATGACTACGAGCCTCTAAGGGCGCGTTTAGATTCAAATTTTTTTTGATTTTGGCTGCGGTAGCATTTTCGTTTGTATTTGACAATTAGTGTCTAATTATGGACTAATTAGGTTCGAAAGTTTCGTCTCGCGATTTCTCACCCAATTATGCAATTAGTTTTTTTTTCATCTACATTTAGTACTCCATGCATATGCCGCAAAATTCGATGTGATGAATACTGCGCAAAAAAAATTTGGGAACTAAACAGGCCCTAAAGCCTAAAACCCGTCCGGTTTCGTCGTGTACGCCGAAATCCAGTAGCCGCTCTGCCGCTCTGGGAAGAAGTAGAACCGTGCATAGCTTATGGTTAAGGTTGTGTTTAGTTCGCGAAATGAAAATTTTTGAATGTCATATAGGATGTTTCAAGGATGTCGGAAGGGGTTTTCGGATACTAATAAAAAAATAATTACATAGCTCGCCTGAAAACAACGAGACGAATTTATTAAGCATAATTAATCCATTACCAGCGCATGCTGGTTACTGTAGCATTTTATGGCTAATCATGGACTAATTAGTCTTAAAACATTCGTCGCTAGCAGTGCCGCTACGTACGTTCTGAACGGTTAGGATGGGTATAAAGGTTTGATCGTATTTGAGCTGCCTCATTGTCCTACACTACACGATCCGAAAGCGCCGTACTACGCGCAGTATTAATACTACTCCTAATGAAGACACCACTTTTCAGGGAAAAAAAAGTATTAGCGACCGTATATATCAAGAATTTTGCGGCAGTACATTGATTTACAGGACTACACATCGTTGCCCGTCGCATTTTGTCTTCACCACTTTAGTGGTGTGTAAGAAAATGTGAGAGAACACAGACTATTTACCGGGCTAGGCTCTGTTTGATCGATTAGTTGCTAATAGGTACAGTAGCTAGCTAATACTCTCTATTTTAAATTATAATAATAAAGTATTTTAGCTTTTCTATATATATATATATATAACTGAACTATGTATCTAGAAAACTCAAACGTCTCATAGTTTGAAATGGAGAGAGTAGTTCATATGAGCTAGTTTGTTAATCCAGAAATGTGAGCTAGTTTGGCCTAACCGGTCAAATAGTTGTTAGGTAGATATTCAACTACCAATTAGCAATACTATTAGCATATGATCTATTTGGATCCAAGGAGATAATTGTTAGCTCTATCGATGGAACATGGCCCTTGTGATCCTTGCTCCAAAATTTGGCGATATTTAGGTTGCATTTCGCAGCGAGATACGTTTAGAACCATTAGAATCACTGCCAACCAAAGAGCGAGACGTTTCTAAGAGAATTACCTAGAACTGATTCTTGTTTTTGTATTAGTCTAGAAAAACACTCTAAAAGTGAAGCTGGCTTTTTAAGAGTGCGCTTAAGATTTACTCCCTCCGTCCCTAAATGTGTGTCGTCACAATTTGCGTGCCGATAGTTTTGACTCGATTTATAGAAAATGCGTGTAATATTTCTATCTCTAAATAAATTTATTAAAAAACTAGATTCAAATATCTATCCAATAATACTAATTATGTATTATAAATATTAAAAAAAATTAATATATATTTAGTCAAAGTTGTTTCTCAGGAAGCGAAAACGACAGACATTTAGAAACGGAGGGAGCAGAGAAGTTGAAGCGTGAAAAATTATATAGAGGGCAATTTTTATTTCTTTATATGATGATTTAAAGGACGATTTGAGGAGAGACCGTTGGGAGATGCTCTTAGGGCGCGTTTAGTTCGGCACCTGCAAATTTTGCATAGTGCATGATTCTCTACTGTAGCATTTTGTTTATATTTGTGAATTATTGTTCAAACATTGACTAATTAGGCTCAAAAGATTCGTCTCGCAAAGTTAAAGCAAACTGTGCAATTAGTTTTTGATTTCGTCTATATTTAGTACTCCATGCATGTACCGTAAGTTTGATGTGATGAGGAATCTTCTTTTTGCATAGTGCACTTTTGGAGAACTAAACAAGGGTTTATAATTCGGGCCTTGTTTAGATTCCAAGTTTTTTCACTCTCTCTCTCTCACATCAAATCTTTAGACACATACATGGAGTATTAAATGTAGATAAAAAATAACTAATTATACAATTTGATTGTAAATTACGAGACGAATCTTTTGAGCCTAGTTAGACCATGATTGAACAATAATTATCAAATACAAACAAAAATGCTACAGCACCATATACTGATCCCTAGCCGCGAACTAAACAAGGCCTCGACCGTTCCGCAGCTTCTAAACCCGCTACCGTATGGGTGCGTTTAGATCCAAAATTTTTTGGGTTTCGCCTACTGTAGGACTTTTGTTTGTATTTGACAATTAGTGTTTAATTATGGACTAATTAGGTTTGAAAGTTTCGTCTCGCGATTTCTCACCCAACTATGTAATTAGTTTTTTTTCGTCTACATTTAATACTCCATACATATGCCGCAAGATTCGATGTGATAGGTAGTACGTAAAATTTTTTGGAAACTAAACAGGCCCAACCGGCCGAGGTAGTTTTCGTTTTCACAGATTCCTTCACGGAAAGCAAGGAAAAGTTGACTCTGGGTCTCGCCAATTTTAATGAAGTGACTCGAGAGAGGGCTGTTCTGTCACGTCCAATTGATTGCCGATGTGATTTCTTTACTGTGACGGTTTAAGAGATGCTATTGCAAGTTATGGCAAAGTTGCAACGTTGGAAGCTGGTTGCTGCAGTACGTTTGGGTACAGGGTTCAAAAAGATTTTGCACTGTTGCCGCGTAGGGCAGCATACATCCGCACCATTATGATGATCGCCCGAGAGCCAGAGCCAGCGGATTTCTGAAATCTGTTTCACGATCCAACGCCGTGTTTTTTTTTTATGCTGATTTTTGACAGAATTTCCGTTTCCGTTGATCTTGGCACGTTAACGTTACTGTGACTGTACTTGCGTTTACCCTCCTAACAAACTGAGAGGGATCATCGGAAGAAGGTTGAGGCGGGCATGTCTTTTTCGAGAGACTGGGCGTCGCCTCCAGCTCCAGGGAGTCAGGGACCCCAAAAACTATGGGACAGGATCATTGCACCTGCGAAATGAATTACCAAAAACGATAGATAAAGAAAGCGAATTGATGGGCAGGGGAGCAGAAAGGCAGGCCATTAATACTTGACACCTCCCGTTTCCTGCCCTCTTCTTCCTCCTCCTTCCCCTCCGCCATTGCTCGCTCCACAAGACATGTGCTGCACGCGCCAGACCTAGGGAGAGCTGGACAGAAGCGCAGGCTTCGGGCTCCTCCCATCCTCGCGGCGTCCTCTCGCTTGGGAGCGCAGAGATTCGGCTCTTCAGGGCTTTCAGGCTCTGCGCAGCGCAATCTGGTTCTGGTGAGATTTCTGCTGCGGCACATCTCCCCTCCAGTTTTGTTTTTCCCTGGTTCCTGATTCGGTCGCCTTTCGTTATATTGTGCTTTGGTCCTATAGATCTGTCTCGCCTGGGTTCCAGGATTGTTTTTGCTCATCTCTGCTGTTGTGCATTTCGCAGAAAGATTAGAAAAGTTCGCCCCTTCTTTTCGCGGCTGTTGATTCCTGCTTTCCTCAGCTTTCTGCAGCCAACACCAAAAGAAGAAATTGAAAAAAAATAGCATTTTGGTTTCGCTGAAATGTGCTCCGATTTCAACTCGCGAGCTTTGTGCACGCGGCGCGCCTTTAACTGCCAGGCAGTAGTATGCTTTTTTTTTCTTTTTTCTTTTTTCTTTTTTTGTGCAAGAAAAGGCTTTCATTCTGGGGCGGACGACTTTCTTTTGCGAGCAGCAATGATGTTCCTTTGGCGACCACTCTGCTGATCAAACATTTGTTTATTGCTAAAGAGTATGCTAGATCTGTAGCGTTGCATGATTGAGGTTAGTGGGGGCTGGACATAGTTGATGGTTGGAACAAGACCTTTCCTAGCTTGACAGATGATGAATCCCAAGTGCGGCCGGCGCACATTGAGCACCCAATGATGAGCGCCCATCGTCCCATGGCGGGAGGCGAATGCTGAATGTGGCCATCATTTTCTTGGTTTATTATTTCTTTTGATAAATCTTGGTTTATTGCTTACTTCAATAGTATGTCGCAGCCTGCGGTAAGAAAAGAAGTATGTCACAGTCAGATGATGCGTTCTATTTTCTTGGGCCACCTCATTTCCTCTGTTCTTTTTGGGGAGTAAATATTTGTTGTGAGTTCAGTCACTGGGCGACCCTAGTTCATTGATTTGATCGAAGTTTTGCCCCCATTTGCAGATTGTCAATGGAATAGTCCATCGCAATGCTAAGGTTGCTTCCTGACTGACCAGATCGAGCTTGTTGCAGTCTCTGGTCATATTGTCTGAAAAACAGACAAGTGTTTCAACTATGGCTTCGAAGGCAATGCCCCAAATTCTCCCAGAAATGCCAAGCATCCCAGGCCCGAAGCAGTGCTCTAAAAGTGCTTCCCCTTTGGAGATTCCCCAGACAAACAATTCCTGTGCTTCAGCACTAACAGTGTTACCAGGAACAACTAACGTGAGCAAATCGAGTCATAAACCTGAGCCGAAGGAGCGGAAACCAGATCACCTCAAGGAACCTGTTGATGTTGCGTCGATCAAGTTTCCCATAGAATCAAGCAAGAAAGTGGTAGCGGAGCATGGGAGCATGAATGGAAGTTCCACTTCATTTCAGACATGTGAAGGGACTAGTCAAGCAAAGGTTAGCGCAAGTGCTAAGTTCACTGATCCATCCGAGATTGGTGACAGGGGCAATAGTGGAAGATGCAGGCCTAGCACAAGCAGTGATATCAGTGATGAGAGCTCATGTAGTAGCATGAGTAGCAGCACAAAGCCTCACAAGGCGAATGATTCGCAATGGGAGGCAATTCAGATGATCAGAACTAGAGATGGGATCCTTGGGTTGAGTCATTTCAGGCTGTTGAAGAGGTTAGGCTGTGGCGATATTGGCAGTGTGTATCTCTCTGAATTGAGTGGGACTAAGAGCTATTTCGCGATGAAGGTTATGGATAAGGCGTCACTAGCAAGCCGTAAAAAGTTGCTTCGAGCTCAAACAGAGAAGGAGATTTTGCAATGCCTGGATCATCCCTTCCTTCCTACACTCTACACTCACTTTGAGACCGATAAGTTCTCCTGCCTAGTTATGGAGTTCTGCCCAGGGGGAGACCTTCACACTCTTCGACAGAGGCAGCCTGGCAAACATTTTCCGGAGCAAGCTGTCAAGTATGTCTTGTCTGCATTTTATTACCATCTGCATATATTGCATTTCACTGCCTAACTACCTAATAGAGTTAAGGTTTTCGAGTTCATTAGTTTGAAATCATCATGACTGAAAAAAAATCTATAGCTTGCTGCCTTGTTTTCCACCTTCTGAGGTGCTTCGCTAATGAAATCTTCTCATGTTGCAGATTCTACATAGCAGAAGTCCTCCTGGCACTAGAATACTTGCACATGCTCGGTATCATATACCGTGATCTCAAGCCTGAAAATGTCCTTGTTCGGGAGGATGGGCACATCATGCTCTCAGACTTCGACCTCTCCCTTCGCTGTGCAGTCAGTCCAACACTGATTAAATCCTCAAACCCTGATGCAGAAGCACTCAGGAAGAACAGCCAAGGCTACTGTGTTGAGCCGTCCTGCATTATTCAACCATCATGTGCAGCCCCAACCACCTGCTTTGGCCCACGCTTTTTCTCGAAGTCTAAGAAAGATCGAAAACCAAAACCTGAAGCTGCCACCCCGATCAACCCTTGGCCTGAGCTCATAGCAGAGCCCAGCGATGCACGGTCAATGTCATTTGTTGGGACACACGAGTACCTGGCCCCTGAGATTATCAAAGGTGAGGGCCATGGTAGTGCTGTCGACTGGTGGACCTTTGGGATATTCTTGTACGAGCTGCTGTTCGGGAAGACACCTTTCAAGGGATCCAGCAACCGGGCTACACTGTTCAATGTCATTGGCCAGCAGTTGCGCTTCCCAGAGTACCCGGTTGTGAGCTTCTCAGCAAGAGATTTGATCAGGAGTCTACTTGTGAAGGAGCCCCAGCAACGGTTGGCTTACAAGCGTGGAGCCACGGAGATCAAGCAGCATCCCTTCTTTGAGGGCGTGAATTGGGCACTTATAAGATGTGCAAGCCCACCAGAGGTACCAAAACCTGTCGAGATTGAGAGGCCATCAAAGCATCCTTCATCGCCATCGGGAGCTGCTGATGCTTCCGTTGGTGCACCCCAGAAAGGTGCTGACGGCTACTTGGAGTTTGATTTCTTCTAGCAAACATGTGGGTTTTACTTTACTATATTTGTTTCTGCCACTGAATGTAGGATTTTCTGATGTTATGTTTTTAGCAGATGGTTGGTGCTGTAGATTTGTCTCTTCAACCTGTTTTTCTTTTTTCTTTTTCTTTTTGGTACTTTACACTTGCTTAAAGTTCACATCTATAATTCAGCAAGTCCTGATTGTACTGATGTCCTGCAACGCCTTTACAAGACATTGTCATTTTCATATTTTTTTTCGTCCGTTTCAAATTGGAAGTCAATTTAGTTTTGTTCCAAGTCAACTTGTCAAACTTTAACCAATTTTGTAAAAAAAATAAATAATTAACATCCAATCCAAAACATTAAATAAAGGAAGTGAGTCTAGCTCAAGTGGTTAGGTAGAGGATGTGGTAATGCACCTAACCATCTTGGTTTGAGTCTTCAACTTAAATTTGGATGCCTAATTTCTTGTTAATGAAAAAGAGCATAATTTTTCTTAGGTTGGTCACATTTTATCAATATAAAATAAATGTACTATCAAAATATCTCATAGTGTGCCTAATAAACCTGGTTAAAGATATTTTTGTATTTTTTTTTTCTATAAACCTGGTTAAAATCAGAAAAAATTGACGTGGGGCGAAGAAATTGACTTACGGTTTGGAAATGGAAAAGTAGTTATTATGACCGATTTCTTCACTCTTCGGTACGGTTTATGCCTATTCTTTCTAATGCCATGTCCATGTCACTGGTAACCTTTACAGTCACATGCTCGCTCTACGATCTCACAGGTCACATGCTCGCTCTACTAGTTTTGAATTTGGCGATCACACAGCAACCGCTGAATGACAGCAAAAGGTTAACAGAAAGCTCCGACCAGATAGCATCATTTAAGATGACCATCAGACTATGCATCAGCGATCGTCAGCCGCAATTACCGTTCGTTGGCGCCCTATACATGTATCCGCGATCTTCAGCAGCAACTACAGCCTCCATGGCTTCATGCAAAATCCATTGCCGTCTCGCCGGGTTCACCATTGAAACATGCACGCACAGGTTGTCGATAAAGGAAGTTCAAAGTTCAAATTTCAAAAAGAAAAAGAAAAAAGAGGGAGATAACTTCTGCATCAGATGAACATATTTTCCAATCAACCTGACATTGTTTTAATACCTCGATGCTCCGGAACATCCAAAATCCAAACAAAAGATAACATCATCACAGTGAATGTTGATGCCCAGGCCATCGCCTTGCTTATGATTAACTGCAGCTAAGGCATCGAAACTTCGATAGCAGTGGACGTTCACAAGGAGTTCACACACGAGAACACAGTAGCCGCAACACCTTTTCATCACCATCTCCAGAAACGCTACTTTTAAGGTTCTAAGCCTCGCATTACTATGCACAGGTAAATATTATTCTCATCCCAGACTGTTTTACCACAATACGCTGTTTCACCTAGACTTGTTTTGGGCACCTCTTCAAGGATCTCTCAAGTTCTTCAGTTGAGGTTCTTGTAGATTCTGAAAGAGACAAACACCGCTGCAGCAGCTGCGACAGCAGCAAGAGCGGCATAGGTGTCAGCTCTCTCCCAGGTCTCAAACCAGGTGGGCATCGGGCAAGTCCTTGAATTCCCCTTCTTGCTGCCAGCACCACCCTCCTTGTCATTCTCCTCAGAGCTCTTGGGGTTCTGCTCAGCTGCGATACTCTTGTCCTGTTTTTCCTTTGGCAGGTCAGTTTGGCAGCAGGTGAAGCCACCATTGCCTTGGCAGCATCCACCAGCTGCTGCAGGGTTGCAAGAAGCACCATCTGTTCCGGTTTCTTCAAGGGATTCTTTGCCACCATGTAGCATGCTCCGAAGCTCGAGAGCTTGCTTCTGCTGCTCCTCGGATAAACCCATCTGCCCCCTGCAAGACACCATATATAGCACACATAAGAACCCCAGGACAAAGAAACACTCAGCTATCAATCAAACATATATTGTAGGATCGCTTGAACATAGCAAATTAGCAATGGAGGCAGAAAGCATTAATTTGGTGGCCCCAGTGCCTTGTAACACAAGTACAAAAAGTCAAAAGGGATTTGGAACATGCATTATTAGATTCAGGAAACACCATTCTTCTATTGCAACAAAGAACTGTGAATGTAAACACTGAACAGCTTGCCATGTAAGGGTCATTCTTTAAGTTCTGAAATTGGTGCAACTAGAAGTACAAAGACATATACATGAGTATCAAATTCAACCAGGAAGTAGACTTGCTACGACATTCCACATTAAGCAGTTGGAGAATTCCAGCGAAGCATTAATGAAATATCATTCTTGATCAGCTATCCTCATGAGCAGATCAATACATACAAAGTGAGTGATTTGACATAGCGCAGACAAATCCAACACTGAGATTCTGGATAAACTCACACCAATAAGGGGAGGATAATTTAAAAAGGATTTCAAATATGAAGTTCATATAGGAAATCTCCTGTGTATGAGCATGGCTGAACAGAAAATGCACTATACAAGAACACAGATTCACGCATGCTTATAGTGCATTGTCTTGAACAACTTTAATGCACAAGTGCAAAATTCAAATGCACAAAATTCAAATTAAGACTTTGGCCCCATAATATACATTAGACTACCGAAATGCACATAGTTTTGAACATCATGATCTCCAATTCTCCATTGAAGCTTAAATTAAGCATTACTAAAAGGATGTATTAACAGTACTACTTTAAGTAATGCAATTAAACTAGAACATTATGCAGGTTTTTTTTGTATGATTAATCATAGAATATATTACACATGTTCACATAAGCATGTACTTTGCAGGATAAGAAAGAGCAATATAATAGGCTGGGAACCGACATCTAGTCATTCATGACTCCACAACATGATAAGATGTAAATGATGAGTAAACAATTCTAAGTTCTCAACCCATGGTATACAGATAGGAGAACAAGGGTTTAACAAGGAGGATACCTCCATAGATGGTCCACAATTTCTCCTTGTTCAATATGTTTATGCAGCAAAACAGGCACATCATCAGGAACAACATAACCATACCTACAATTGCAATTGTAGTGAGCACTAATTGAATTATAAATGGACAGAATGTGCATATGCAAAAGTAAAAAAAAAAACAATAGTTGCACAAGACAAAGTGAAGGGTTAATGTTAATTTAATGACAGTCCTTACCAATGACCAGTCACATCTCCCTTAGCATCAGAACTGAAAATGATGACATTTCCTGCATACTTATGACCTCCCACGTGTGAGCATGCACTGACAGACACCTGACCATCAAGTCCCAGTCCATTTATCTCTTCCTTGAACCTTTTAATCAAAGCAGGTCCACAAACACCACACCTTTTGTCCCTGCTTCCATGGGAGCAAACAAAAACATAGGAACCACTCATAGGCTCAGGAGATCCAGGAAGCCAGTCAATATCCTTCACAAGCACTTCTTCAACAAAGTTATCGACATCAAAATGGGTCAGCCCTCTGCAAACATATGTCGCAGATTGAAAATTAACAAATAGTTGACTTTGAAGCCTAAATACCACATGTTTATTAGTTAGCACGCTTGCAGCTTACTTGTATCTGATCATATCTGGAAAGATCAACACATCTCCATTTGATGATTCAGTGCCATCTTCTCCTTCACAGATGGTCAATTTGATCTGTGACGTGGTAGTATATAGCAGTCATTGGATATATATATGTATATATGTAAAACAGGGATGAATTAGCAAAAACTACCGAACTTACAACCTTTTTTGAAAGCATTTCTTTTCAAAAAGAACATAAACAAGCCACATAGTGGACAAATCAATATTCTTAATACTATAAAATATCACCCCAAAAGTTACAACTGTGCAATAACAACATGCTCCCAGAAGACAATAGATCAAAACAATTAGGTAATACCCTCTCAAGGAGCCTATATACCGAAAGCACTAGTTGCTTATTTGTTATTTGGGACACAGCAATAGTCAAAATCAGTTAGAACAATTAGGTAATACCCTCTCAAGGTGCCTATATTATATGAGGTGATACAAACTTATTTCTCCCACAGTTAGAACAGTTCGGGTCCTACCATATACTTTGGATAACAGAGCAGAAACCTAAGACCTGAACAGTGACAATAGATTTGGCAACATCTTATAGACACACAGGACATGTTTTTGCATTTCTTCCAAACCATCAATTATGTAAATCATATGATGAATGGCAACACTCATAAATAATAGAGGCAGTGATTTTTATGTTTCGGACTAAAATGATTCAATTAGGAACAAGTCGACCCTGGAGCTCAACCAATATATGTCAAACCCATTCAAGTCATAGCTGAACACACATAATAGTATATGCGAAGAACATTTGGAATATCGATGATTCCCACGAAAGAAAATGAGCATGGACTTAAACCCACTACGGTAAGCTATTACTTAGATGGCACTTGAGGGGGGAAACAGAGACTAGTTGAATCTAAAGTAACATTGAAAAAACCAAACAGGGCAAATAACCACTCAAGCTTCAAATAATCATTAACGAAAATTGGCACCAACTTATGGTACCATTAGCAAATAACCATGTAAAGGACCCAAACAAGGAGCAGAAGAACCATATAATGTTCATTAACTACCTCTTATACTTAAGCACTGGAAATGCATCATGGGTGCCAAGCAAAAAGTAAGTGATCCAGATAAACAACTACATTTAGAATTAAAAAAGGTGCACTAGGGTTCTATCCAATTAAAATAATCAGAACATATATACAGTCAAAGCATAAAAGCTAAACCAGAACATAAGCTAGACTCACAGAGCCCAAGAGTACACACTGCCATGCGCAAATCCCCGAATAATGATTCAGATGTCCTACCAAAACTACTAAAAACACGATTCATGACTTAAGGGTCCACAACATCAACAGATGGGATTGGAATGGAACCATGAATAACATCAACATAACCCTAACAGGTAGAGGAGCCATACATAGTTCATACCTCTTAAACTTCAGCATCGGAATAGAATCATGGAATATGGATAAACAAAATGTAAACAGAATCCAAATTATGATGATGGGATCCAGACAAATAGATGTATTAAGCCAATCAATTCATGGCCAGCCGTGCACAGTCCAGTTAAACAAAACCGAACATATTATAAATTCAAAACATAAATGCCAAACCGCAACTAAAGCTAGAGTCGCAGAGCCCAATAGTACGAAGTGTTTCCTATGCCAAGTCCAATCCCCAAGCCAAGATTCAGATATCCAACAGACTATACTAAAAGATCAAGTAGCAGCCAAAATCTTCACTAGTTCACAGATTCAGATATCCAACAGACAATACTAAAAGATCAAGTAGCAGCCAAAATCTTCACTAGTTCACACTAAGGCCTCATAAGCAACCACAGACAACAAGGTGCAGTTAGAACGGGCGCAAAGCATTAAATATCAGCATCCCTAGATTCTAGTGGCGAATTCAGCGACGAAAACCATAATCACAACCGAACAGAACATCCACCAAAGCACTCTGTCGACAAGGATCGTAAAACCCAAACTAACCTCGCCCGTGTGCAGACAAACCAACCATACTAGATCACGTGATACCTGGAGCTAGTTGAATACTTACTCTAAAAAAGGGTCCAAAATCCAAATCACCAGCTTCCAGTTCGCAATTCCCCCAAATCAACTACGAAAAACCCAGCCAAAAGCGTACCAAAAACCACAACGCGGTACCGAACCAGCTAATTTCTGAGACGAATAAAAATTAGGAGGGAGCCATATGGATGCTCACGGTCTTCTTCAGATTGGGCTTGCGGGCCTTGATGGCGGCGGCGAGGAGGCGGGGGAGGCGATCAGACTCAGCGGCCTCGAGGTGGGACGGCCACACGTCCGGGCCCTTGTAGCAGAGGAACACATGGCGCTCGTGGAACCCCACCGTCCCGACCAGCTTCTCCTTCCCGAGCTCCGGGCGCTGGAACCCGAACTCTGCGTCTGGATCCGGCACCGCGGCCGCGGCGGCGAGGGCCGCGTCCGTCGCGTCAGCCGCCGGAGCCGGAGCCGCGAGGGGGGCATCACCCGCCGTAGGGGAGGCCATGAGGAGGCGGAGTGGCAGTAGACGGCGGCGGGTTGGTGCGCGCTGCGAGGAAGAGAGTGGTGGTGGTGGAAATGGAAATTGCTTGGAGAGTGTGCGGAAAATGTGCAGCATCTCCTCGGGTTTTTATGGCAAGAGGAGGGGAGTTGTTCTTGCTCAAGGGGAAAAGTCACGCCCACGGCCGCGGACCACAGCTGGCGTTGGCCCACTTGTCGGTGAGAATTTGGTTTTGTCAATCAATTTATTTTAATACCGCGGGACCAACACAAAGAGGGTGACGTCAACCAGAGAACCCAGAAAACTTTTGCTTCTTGTAGAGTTGCAGTCCGGTGTGCCGTGTGCGTGCCCGTCTCAATTTTATTCCATTTTAATTAAATATATATAAATACATTAACATTTGTGAAGTGTAATAAATTATATTAAATTAAATTAACAGTACATTATTAAATTTACAGTGTAATAATATATTATTTTTATAATAAATATGTTGGCAATATTTCTAATAAAACTAGTCATTTAAAAAAAGATTTCTCAAAGTACAATTATTTTTCAATGAAGAGAGTAATTTGTAAGGTCCATAATAGTCTAGACTATTAAAATCCATAATTTATAAAATATAATTAATTAGGATATAAATAGATGGATGGTTGGTTGGATTCTACGGAACGATAACTATTAAGCGAAATCAGGATATGACTTAACCAAACACGATCCTAGTGATTTTGCCATGGATCTGATATGTTTATCGCTAGCCTGGGTGTTCGGGTTACCCGAATATTTTGGGTCACGTAGTTCGGGTAATAAGATATTCGGATAATGAAAAATACTACTTATCGGTATTTCGAGTAAACAACAACGAGTAAATTTACGTTATTGCGCGTCTGGCCTGGATGGTATGCTAAAAAGACACCAGGTTTATACTGGTTCGGACAGAATATTCCTACGTCCAGTTCGTGGTTGCTGCTCGTGTTATTAGCACTGAAAAATTCGCACTACGGGTTACAAACGGACGAGAGAGGGACGGATCCCAAGTCTCTGATGGAAAGGTCAAATGTGTGCTGAGAGTTTGGTTGCTGCTCAGTTACGTGGCGTGATATGTGATGTGATGAAAATCGATCCCCTTAGTGGGGTGTCCTGCTTTCTCTTTTATAGGCCAAGTGAGAGCAGGGATTACAAATGAGAGAAAAAAGAAAAAAAATCAGAGGCAAAGGAGGTCCTTCAAGATGCCGGGTCTTTCTTTTTCTCTATGCGGGCCCCGCTGACAGGGCAGGCGGTGGCAGGGATAGCCCCACGCCGGGCGCATGTCCGCTGACCCTGACAGGGCCGCGCTGAGCGTCTGTTCGCTGACGATGCCATGTCCTGGCATTGTCAGCGAGTTGTGAAGTCCCATCCCGCCCCGACGGGCGGCGCGACGGACCAGGGTGCTGATCCACGGCCATACAGGGAGCAGACGGCGCAGTGACCGCATGTCCGTTATTGTAGGTGATGCGAGTTTCCTCCTAGATCGTAGTGGTTGTCGTGAGCTTCCGTTAGGATCTATGCCTGAGGGCAAATGGCGGCGTCCACAACACTGTAAGACAAATGTCGACGCCTACGACACTGTTTGGGCTCTGTCATGCCTGGAAGGTCGCAAAGCGCCCTTCTGTCATGTCCTGACGGTACTTTTCTGCAGGCGTGCAGGGTACAGTCCTCGGTATTGCGGTTGACTTGAGTGCCCTGCCTTATCTGCGTGCATCGTTAAGAAGGAGTCACGTGTAGACGTCGGGCGAGGCGGAGCCAGCCTCCAAACGCGGAGCCAGCCCTAGGACGTCGGACGAGGCGGAGCTGGCCCCTGGACGTCGGGCGAGGCGGAGCTGGCCCCAAGACGTCGGGCGAGGCGGAGCCAGTCCTCGGACGTCGGGCGAGGTAGAGTCAGCCCTCAGATGTCGGGCGAGGCGGAGCCGGCCCTCGGAAGTTAGCCTAAGGCAGAGTCAACCCTCGGGGGTCGGACGAGACAGGGCCCGCGGCCACAGTGCCCACCGAGGCGGAGCCAACCCTCGAGGGTCAAACGAGGCAGGGCCCATGGTCTCGGTGGCCGGACGAGAAGGGACCCGGCAAGCGGTGTAGTCACGCTCTTGATCACACGGACGAATCAATGTTGATGGTCATTAGCTTCTTCTCTTCGGGTACCCTAATATTAGTCCCCGACACTACTCGATTTCAGCCCTGAAAAACCACTACCCGATGTTTCGGGTATCCGATAATTCAGATTCAGGTTCGGGGATTCCCAAACTACCTTATATTCACAGAAATCTGCCGTCAAGATCAGGCTGGGACTGGGAGACGCATAGTCGCAGACGATGGTGGTCGTTGGGACCTGACGTGGATGCGTCGGTGTGCGCTGGTGTTGACGCTGGCCACGGGGTGCGTGTGCCGTGTGGGAGGCTTGCATCAGAGACCCTGGGTCACCGTCGGGGCGTAGGCACAGGCAACGCCGTAGCGTTGAGACTCGGGCAGTTGCTGCCGGGTAGGCGCTACTCTCGGGCCTTGGCCTCGCTGCTTACGCATCGGGCGAGGGCAGGGACTCGAGGGCAGGGACTCAGCCGCGCGGGGCGGAGGCATGGGGCGGCGGGGTGATGAAGCAGCTTTGGTTTTCAAGCACCACCGAAGGAGCGAAGGGGTTCGGGAAAACGGGGTCCGGGATTTGGGGGCTTGGATCGGGGGTGTGGTCGTTGGAAGTAGAAACTGGTGCTGAGTCGCTGGGTATAGACTGGTGAATGCACTGGGCTTCATGACTTGGCAGGCTCTACATTATGATATCGGGTAATATGGGTAATTCGGGTCCCACGAGCTGTTACCCGAATTTCTCGAATTAATTTCGGGTATCTCAAGTCACTATCTGAAATTGTGATCGGGTAGATCGGGTGCGTGTAGTTCGGGTAATTCGAGTTCGGATATTGGGTAGCGGGTAATTTGCCCAGTCCTATTTATCGCTGCCAAACACTCCTTAGAGCACGTTTGGTAGGATCCACATTCTTTCAAAAACGTTTTAGATTTAATCTTTCTCAAATTGTCCTGCTAGCAGGCAGGATTTAGTTTCTCAAAATGGATGCGAAAGTCTACATGGAAAAAATCATAATAATTGATAGTGTGTTTTAAATGATCTTCTTGGGTGAAGGATGATTCAATGGCAACCCATTTTACTAGAAGATCAGTAGAAAAGAACTCTAGATTAGAAGGGAAGTAGGAAGGTAAGAATTAGAATCGGGAGAAACTACATAGAAAGTAATTCTAATCACTTTTTTTATAAGAAGTCATTCTAATCTCTAGTACCAAATGGTAGAAGCACAAGAAAATGTTTCTAGCTAGAGCCAGTTGTCCTGCCATTGACCAATTGCCAGGTCCGTAGTGATTCGACGTCTTTTCCAAGGAGCGCCACATCTTGGCCTACAACCAACGCCATGACCCAATAAAAGCAAGCTAGCCCACTAAGACTGTCTCAACAAGGAACTCATATGGGTACCTAAATCTAAAATAGGTAGTAAGAAACCCAAAATCAGCCTCCAACAGAGTACCTATACGGGAGACCTATTTTGGGTTGCCTGAGAGGTACAACCCAAATATGGACATCATCTCTCCTGAAAACCCAATTGCAGAAAGAATTCTCTTTTTGGGTCTTGTTATTGGAGAAGATACCGAATAGGTATGGAACCTTTTGTCTATAACGCTACCCAAAGGACGAATGGGTCTTATATTTTAAGTGTTGTTGTTGGAGATAGGCTAAGGGCAGCCGCAGTGGTGAGTCATTCGTCCGACGAACAGACAACCACCTAAGGGCACGTACAACGGACGTGCTGGCCGTCGTCTCCAGATGGTCAATTTGCAAAATCCAAACCCCCCCCCCGTTTGCTACAGTAATTGAGGAGAGAGCAAAGCCGTCGTGTCGTGAGACGACGACGAGCGCTCGTGCTCCCAGGCGAACTCGACGGCTGAATTCACGTTGTACAGAGTTGTCGTCTTGAGCCGACGTCGCACAGATCCAGTTGCGCGCTCGCGAAGTGAAATATTCGTGCCAAAAATCCGCACATATATGCCTCAGCAACGCCATTTTTCATCGCCATTCTCGCCCAAATCAATCTCAGATGCCCTTGCGCCTTCGTCGGATTTCGTCTCGCGATGTCTAGCCAGGATTTGAAGAGAAAGGCGACGTCAGTTTCGAAGAACAAGGCGAAGGCAGCGCCACCAGTGGCGGCGGCGGCGAGCAGACTTCCTCGCGGAAGCGGCTCATCCCCAGCACCCAACCTCGCCGATTTCAACGGCGTGGCAGCGCCCTTCCTCGGTCACGGAAGCAGCTCGTCCCCAACACCCAACTCCTCTGCTGGTACGATTCATCCGCAATCCATGGCAGACGAGGCTACCCGATCGGATTTGGCGTAGTTGCCTCTTCACATGGCAGATGTGCCTCCACCAGTCCAAGTTCTCCTCTGTTCGGGCATCAATCAGATTGGGATCCAGCATGGTAATCCTTTTGCTTCAATTCTCGCGTTTAACTGTAGGCTATAGCCTTGATTTGATTGAATTCGTATTCTACATTTCTGCTCATCTAGGAAAATCTATCCTGCTACGTTTTGCCATCATAGGAAAATCTATCCTGATACGTTCTGCGATTCTATTTTAGTTACCTATATGCTATGTTGCCTTGGTGATTTTCTGGATAGCAGAGAAATAGTGGTAGTTCAGTTAGTTCTTTTTTAGTTAAACATGTCAATACATGGAACCTGTAATTCTAACTATTGAAAGCTTTCAGTTACTGATAACTGAACAGTTATCTGATCATTGATTTTTTTTCTAGCTACTGGATGTTATCAGTTCAGTATAATTGATCACTGATTTTTTTTCTAGCTACTGAATGTTTGTAGATACTAATTTTTTTCTAGCTACTGAATGTTGTTAGTTCACTAGAATTGATCACTGTTTTCTTTTTTCTAGCTATTGAATGTTGCCAGTTCACTAGAATTGATCAT